CGGCGGGAGCGCCACTGCGCTCCCAAGCGGCGCACTGTAGCAGTGCGCCACCGGGCCGGCCCTTGTTTCTTGATTTTTTAACTTCAGAGAATATCTTTTTTTGTTTGTTTTGTTTTGTTGATGGCTGGCCAATAAGGGAGGTCCAAACCCTTGATCTTGGTGTTATCAACACCACACTCTAACCAACTGAGCTAACTGGCCAGCCCTAAAAAAAAAAACTCTTTAGGGTTAGGGTTAGAGTTAATACATTGTGCTAGGTTGCCTACCAAAGAAATTTAAATTTAATTAAATTTATGTGTGTATGGGACCCCCAATTTTCCTCACTCCCTGGTCAGTGCTTGCTAATGTAAAATTGTTTCCTGTGCTTTAAAAGTAATGCATGATCATTGTCAAAAATAACCAACTTTATAGAATTGGACAGTGCCCAAGGCTGAGGCTGCTAATCTCAACTTCCAGAAAACCAATATGTTGTTGATTATATTTGCTAACATTCATTACTAAGGTTAATAAGTTTAAAATGAGATTATGTTATATAGTACTATCTTAAACCTTCTCTTCCTACTTTATCTTTCCACATTGTTATATATATATATACAGAGATCTTTACACCATTCTTGAATGTGTCCTATCTTGTTAAACCATTCTTCTATGGGTGAACATCTGTTACCATTTCTATCAGTGCTGCAATGAACATCATAGTTCAAATTCTTTGTACATTTGCCTGTTTATGTGGTTAATTTTATAAATGTGGAATGATTGGGTCAAATAGTGTGGACATTTGAAATTTTCTTAAGCATTGCTGCCCGGGGGTTGTACCATTTCATCCTCCTATCAGCCATATATGGGTCTTATTTCCACATCATTGTCAGTACTGGCTGTGGTTATGTAAAAAATATCTTTTACCAGTTTTATAAGCAGGAAATGCATTATCATTGTTGTTATTTTAATTTATTTTTGAATTCGTCTTTATTTTTTCCTTCAGCTTTATTAAGATATAATTAAAAAATACAAATTATATGTATATTTACAGTGTACAATGTGATGTTTTGGTTTTCATTTCTTTGATTACTGTTGAGGTGATTGTTTTTCCTCAGTTTATTGATTTTTCTTTGCCTTTTTTTGTTTGTCTTCTTGATTTTTAAACTTTCATTTATATGTTAAGAATATCACTCTTTAGGGCCGGCCTGTGGCTCACTCGGGAGAGTGTGGTGCTGATAACACCAAGGCCACGGGTTCGGATCCCATATAGGGATGGCCGGTTAGCTCACTGGGTGAGTGTGGTGCTGACACCACCAAGTCAAAGGGTTAAGATCCTCTTATCGGTCATCTTTTTTAAAAAAAAAAAAAAAAAAGAATATCACTCTTTATCATGTAGTAACTATTTTTTTCCAGTTTGTTGGTAGTTTCCTTATCCCTTTATCTAATAAAGATATAATTTACACAGTAAAATTTACCCTTTTTAGCTGAAAATTCTGTGAGTTTTGACAAACGCATAAATCACGTGATCATCTCCATAATCACAACACAGAACATTTCCATCAACCTCCAAAATTCCGGCCGGCCCGTGGCTCGCTTGGTAGAGTGCGGTGCTGATAACACCAAGGCCATGGGTTCGGATCCCATATAGGGATGGCCGGTTTGCTCACTGGGTGAGCGTGGTGCTGACAACCTCCAAAATTCCTGAGTTAGTCAGCCATTTCTGCCACTGCCAGCCTTGGCAACCACTCACCTGTTTGCTGTTTCCATGTAGTTTGTCCTTGCAAGAATGTCTTGTAGATGTCATCATTGAGTACTTATTCTTTTGGTCTTGTTTCTTTCACTCAGCATGATGCATTTAAGATTCATCCATGTCCTTCCTGTCCTAGTTTGTTCCTTTTTATTACAGATCAATATCCTGTTGTACAGATATACACAGTTTATCCATTTACCAGCTGAGGGACGTTGTTTCTAGCTAGTGTTTACATATAAAGGTGCTAGAAACATCTGTGTATAGGTTTTGGTGTGAACATAAGTATTCATGTCTCTTGGTAAATATCTAGGAGTGGGAGTGCTGGGTCATATGATAATCTTATTCCTAACTTTATAAGAAACTGTCAAACTCTTTTTCAAAGCAGCTATTTTTCCAAGTGACATCTTCATGTTAGTAGCTTTTAAATAGTGTTTATTGGCATCCCACTCCACCCCCACCCCCCATTATAGCAGTTACAATTTTCAGTTAAATCTGTTCATCTTACCTTCTTCCTTTGCTTGTTGCACAAACCATTTTCATTCTGTTTTCTTGACAACTGTAACAATAATAGCTACCATTTAGCATAACATCCCTGCCTGATAAACCTTAGTATCCTCATTTTACAGGCAAGGACACTGAAACTACAGCTTGCCCAAGGTCAGCCAGTAAATGGCAAAGCTCTGTCTGAATCCAGTCTGTGCTCTGGCCCCATTGTGTCCCCGTTGACATGGGATCTTGCTGCTTGTTCTCAAGAAGTCCTCTTAATCACATCTTCTGTTTTCAAGGCTGTACTGGGGTTTGTAAGGTTAATATGCCAAGCTTATTTCCAAGGTTCTACCAGGAGAGCTATTGCTGCAAAGGATTTTCCTCTATTTATTTTTTTAATCACAAAATTATTATACATGCATTTTTCAAATTTTTGTGTTGAAATAATATCAAGCATTTAGGAAAGTTGCAAGAATAGTACAAAGAACTTTCATATACCTTTACTGGATTCATTAATTTTTAACATTTTGTCATGAGCTTTTTGAAGAACTCTCATTCGTATGTGTGGGTGTGCATGTGTGTGTATGTGTAAAACATTTTTTCATCTGAGCCATTTGAGAGTGGGTTACATACATAGTGTTTTTTTATCTCTTCATACTAGGAATAAGGACACTGACTTACATAATCATGGTACAGTTGCGTCCAATTTAGGGAATTTGACATTGATTCAAGACTTTTATCTAAGACTTTTATCTAATCTATCAAGACTTCTATCTAATCTATCCATATTCCATGTTTTTCCTGCCCATGATCCAGTCCAGGGTCAAACATTGCATTTAGTTGTCTGTGTCTTTTGTTAGCCTTTCTTAGTCTCATGATACTGATATATATATATATTTTTGTTTAATTGAAACATACTGGTTGTACATGTTTATGGTGGACAGAGTTATATTTCAGTACATGTATACAGTGTGTAGTGGTCAAATCAGGGTAGTTAGCAAATTCATCACCGCAAAAATTTATCAGTTCTTTGTGATAACATTTAAGCTCCTCTCTCTTAGCCATTTAACATACAAGTTGTTAATTATAGGTGACTAGCACTACTGTACACCAACAACTTATTTTTCCTATCTAGCTGTAATTTTGTGTCCATTAACCAACCTCTCACTATCCTTTCCCCCACCGCCTTTCCCACCTCCTCATACCCATAGTTCTACTGTCTCCCTCTAAAAGTTCAACCTCTTATTTGTTTGTTTATTTGTTTATTTAAGCTCTTACATA